CTTCCAGGGGCAGCGCAGCTGCAGCTGAAAAGCTGAGAATCTGCAGCTGCGCCAAACAGGCCCTAAAGCATATTTAATTTTGAGGCCCCCAATCACAATCTTCCAAGTCATACTAGCATATTTAAAAGCAAAACCTTTGAACCAAATATGCACTAAAATTCCTCGATTCGATTAAGATTCCATTTCGATTTTAAAAATATATTTTTGGAGAAATTTAGGCATTGAATCCATTTTGGGACGTAGTATCCCGTATAGTTCACAATACCATACAATCCGGTAGAAGACCTCGTATGACTATAAGATTGATAGAAAATAGAAAGCGGGAAGGAAAGAGATAGGTAGGAATCTTCGACAGAAGCCTTGAAAAAATACGTTAGATTTTCTTCTTCGGTTAGCAGTAAATGTAGGAAAAATGCCTCAAACTCCTTGTGAGAGAGAGAGAGAGAGAAGCCCCTCCCCTCATATCCTCCCCCCTCTTGTACATGAGAGACCATTAATTCTAAAATATTGAATACGGTGTCTCTCTCTTTATTGTATAGTTCACAATACCATACAATCCGGTAGAAGACCTCGTATGACTATAAGGTTGATAGAAAACCGAAGGTGGGAAGGAGAGAGATGGGTATGATTCTTTGACCGAGGCCTTGAAAAAATACGTTGGATTTTCTTCTTCTGGTTAGCCGTAAATGTAGGAAAAATGCCTCAAACTCCTTGTGAGAAAGAGAGAGAGAGAAGCCCCTCCCTTCATATCCTCCCCCTTTTATACATGAGAGACCATTAATTCTAAAATATTGAATACGGTGTCTCTCTCTTTATTGGTAAGCTTCCTATGGCATCTTTGATGGGAAGGCTTTAATGTAGACAAGATCTACACCTGATGCATAATCTGATGTTGGCGATGTGATCACTATCCTTTGTTTTGGGCGATGGGCTAGCCATCCAAAATTGACAGGCGCATTGAATGTTGAATGGATGGTACTTCAAGCTAGATTCAAGCCTCGGGTACTCGCTTTGGTTTGTAAGCATGTTTCAACATTTTTTGGTTGATGGGCCTGGTGTAACCACTTTGGTTGGTGGGCCCGGTTTGGGCACTTCGGCGAGAAGACTAAGTTCTGCCACTCAGAATGATCAGCCCTACTCTGCCATTTCTGTTGATCGGCCAAGTTCTGTGATCCAACCTTTGTCTATACATTAGGATTTAGGAATGATTATAGCAAATCTCCTTGAATTCTCTCCCAACTTTATTTTTTACCATTACCTTTTACAATTTAAAACAAAAAATAGCACTTATAATATCATACTTTATAATGGTTTAGTCCTACTTTAAGAACACATATTAAGAATTATTACAATATGCAGACTACCCATATAAGCTCAAATATGAAAAATTGGATCTCATCAATCAAAATGATTCAATATGCTCAAAATAGAATCAGCAAATGCCATAAAATATCCTGGTTGATTTAACAAGCCGAAAGACAAATCTTTTCTTGTGCACAATGAGACAACATACAAAAATTGCATTAAATGGATAACCAATCAGAATTTATATTATACTCAAAACAATATCAATAGATGGAAAATCTAATCGGAATATTCTCAACCAAATATTTTAATATTATATACTTGAAAAATGCATGTGGTGGATGATCTTGATGTTCAAACATGTGAAAATCAACCCGACATTAAACTTGAGTAATGAGAGATTAAGGATTCAACTGGTCAAATATGATTTAACTAGATGACATAACACGTATTAAAATTATTTTAATATGATTTTAATAATGCAGTAATAATATTTTCACCTATTTAATTTACAATTTTTAATTCAAAACACTTTACTCTTAAATATTTAAAAATATAATTCCAAATCAAAATTTTTGCCCATGATATTTTAATTATTTTCTCTATTTTTAATCAAAATTTTCAAAAGAAAAAAATTGATCAATATTAGAACTTTAGTTTATCAAAAAATGGACCAATTTATCATTTTGGCCATCAATTTTGGATAGTTCTGTGCAGAAGCAACGTTGACTGGTTGTAGGATTGGTTGATAGCTAAACCAATCAAATCGGTTGATCGAGTCCAACTTTGAACCATGCTTTTGAAAGCCATGGCATAGAAAATTAAAATATGAATAGAGACATCTTTTCCAAGCAACTTTAATGTCCTCCTTTGCATCACTGTCAAATAGAAAACTAAAATCATCTACTTCAAACTTCCTCGTAATATTAATCTTCTGAGGTGCTGCACTACCACAACTATTTATCAATTAAATCTATTAAAAAACAGTGATCATGCATCCATTCATACTCTGAAAGTCATATTTGACATGACAACATGAAATAAAATTAGCTTTGAATAACCTCTTTACATAAAAACAGAACTTACATGAACATTTTGCTCATCATCTCATTGGAGAAAAACATTGCCCGGTCTGGCAGAGGACTACAGATTTCTCTTCCATCTTCTTCATAAACTTCTCAGCCTCCTTCAACTTCCCACATTGACTGAGACTTCTAACCAATGCTGCATAAACATGGGGGCCAATATCAAGACCTCTAAACTGCATTTCATGATACAAACTTATACACTTTTGAGCCTTATCTATCCTCCCAAATCCATTAATAAGATGGCAATAAATGGCTTCATCAGGAACAAATCCTGTATCTGAAAGAGCAGTAAATATTTCATCAGCTTTCTCTACTTCTCCATTATCACATAGAATTCCAACTATCTCACTAAAAGTAGAAAAGGAAAGCACTAATCCTTCTCTCTTCATTTCCTCATAGAATGCTAAACTCTCTTCCAATCTTCCAGCTTTAGCACAGCTTTCTATCAAACAATTATAAGTCTCATCATACAGTTTCAGGCCAATAGAATGCATTTCATCAAACAGTCTCAGAGCTTCTTCGATCAACCCCATGTCAGCACGAGCACGAATGAAACAAGTGTACACGAAAACATTCGAACCACATCCTCTATTCCGCATTTCATCGTAGGCCGTCTTCGCGTCATCAAACTGTCCAGTTTTGCAGTATGCAAATATGATTAGGGAACTCATAATATCATCCAAAATAAGATTTTTTTGCAACATTCTCCTCAGAAGAATGAATCCCTGCTCAATTCTGTCTTCTTCAAACATCCATAAAACCAATGCCATATTCACCAGCACCACAGGGGCGCATCTCTTTCCATGAATTCTGTCTGATAAGCCGAGCATCCTTTGCAAAGATCCTTCCTTGCACAATAGATTCACCATGGTCTCCACGCTGGCTTGATTTGGATAAACTCTGTTCTCAAGCATTTTCTCATACACCTTCCATGCGAGATTACTCCGATTCGACCTTTGTGCAACATGAAGCATTCTGTTAAAGCTAAGAAGGCTCAGAGTGATCCCATGATCTCCAAAGTAGCAGCAAGAATCAAATGCTTGATCTAAAAACCTCAACTTTAAGCAAGTTTGCACAAGAACATCAAAAACTCGAGGATCCGCGGCTGATGATTCATATGTGCTTAAAAGTGTTTCTGAAACCAATTTTATTGAGGATCCAGGGTTCGGGTTCTTTGATACAGCTGACTCGAGCAGCGCTTGTGCGTCGATGAGAAGATTGGCTCGAACGAGGATTTGAACGACAGTGCAGTAGGATTTGAGAGAATGTTGGTGCTGCTTGTATTGAGATGACCAATGGAAGAATAAAAGAGCGTGTTTTGGCATCTGCCGGCTCTTTCAGATTAAGGATGATTTTCTCTATTAGGGTATCGTTGAGCTCTGTAGAGCCGAAAGTGGAGCTTAGAGCTTCCCATTTTCCGCCATTTTTAAGGAGGAAGCATATGGAGGAGATGAGAGAAGATAAATTTGGGGCTTTGGATTGGGAGTGGACGGATCTTGAAGGGATAGATAGGGTTTTGTGGTTTAGAAATTGGAAGATGGAGGCGATACCTCGTGCTGTGGAAATGGTAGTGTCTTTGATCATTGATGGCGTTTCTAATATGTGTGCAAAAGTCACCTTGGTTAAATATTAATGTTCCTGAGGATCTGAATGTAATTATCCCAACAAGTACACAGAGATCATCCAACACTAAAGGGCTTCAGTCTTGATTACAGGAAGAAGAGGGGGAGCTAATACTCAGCCATAAGAACTAGAAAAATTTGTGTACTCAAGGCATACGCAGCGCTGCGTATGTTAATGAGGTTATTAGGTTATTAAGAGAGTACTGAAGAGTTATATCCATTTTATACCTCATGTAACCTCCCTATAATCTATTTGTAATTTATCTGTACCTTCTAGCAAGTTCCACGCTTCTGTTTTCATATCTTTGTAGTTTACAAGTAGGTTACAGGTAGATTACAGAGAAATTACAGAGAGTATAACACGGATATAACCCCCAATATCCTCTGAATAACATCTCTGACATTTGTAACGCTGCATACGTACACAAATTTTTCTCCATTAGAACAGATAAGCATTCTTTATTCTCATATAGCATATTGATTACAATATATATATATATTATATATAAGCCCTGCTAACGGCAATTCCGTAATTATACATTAATTCTAGTAATATGCAGGTATAACCTAAAACCCCAAATTCATTCAATTCAAATGGAGCAGCAGCAGAGCATCCGGAACTCATTCTTCGATCGGCAGAGTAATGCTTGCTATTAAAAACTTCCTATTTACAAATGGCATTTTTAAAATCATTTTTTTTTTAATTTGGATAAGAATATTTCATTTATGCCGTAAATATTATTTCATTAATTTTACAAGAATTATTTTTCCTAATTCTTAAACAATTCTTTCCAATCTTTCTCAATACCAAGAGCTCAGTTACTATTGTAAGCGAGATAAACTTCTCACACATAAGAGAAACAATATTGCGTTCGAAGTCCGAACGAGGCGCTATAGATCGAGCGCAGTGGAGGAAAAAAAAAATAGAAAAAAATACAACCCAATGTATCGCATCCGTTGTCCAACAGATGCAGCTCGCGTCCGAATTCCAGACGCAATACTCTCCACATAAGAAGAAGAGCCTCCCAACCATTTGGCATATATTGCTTCGAACGCACGCATTTACCAACACATAAAACATTTACACTAAGAGAATTATTTATTTTTATTAGCTAAAATATACATCCATTTTTCTCTACACTCCAGGTTGTGTGCTCAAAATCTCTCATATAATGAGCTTACAATCTTTTCACATTTAAAAAAAAAAAGAGAAGTAAAATAACCACATTTATTAAATGCAATTTAGTTTTACTTCCTATTCATTCAGTATAAACATTTCTCAGACAAAATCAGCCACAAATTAACCCAACAGATCCCAGAAAAAAAAATATTTCTCTAAACAAAATCATTCAGCCACCATGGCTGCAATTCCAGAACCTGATCAAATAAAATATTTAAATTGATGGGCAGATGGATAAGAAAAAAGATATGTCAATGTCAATTAGAGAAATGCAAACTGCTATCAAAACTCAATCGAGGTTCAGATGAAGAAATTTTATCAGATCATGCAACCTGCAACCTGGGCGAGGTCAGCCAGAACTCAATAATCTGCTGCGTTATTGAATAGGAGAACTGAGACATTTCCAGACTATTCAGCGAGGAGAGCTGAAAAGGGCTCGGCCAACGATACCAGTTGCTTCGATGTACCGCTCGACGCACCGAGAGACGCAACTGCTCTCGCTCCCACTCAAGCTCGTTCCCGGCTTCGTAATGCACTTTGCGAAACATTTGCTCCGTACGGTCTGCAGCCGAGGTGTAAAATGAAAAAAAAATATCTGCGTCAGGATATCGCCCGGGCACTTTCCATCAGAATGGGCTAATAAAATTGACAAGTGATACTTTTATTATAGGTAAGAAAGATTTGCATTGATACCACATAGTTCTTATGTATTTACATGTTAACCTTACCTATGCTAGAAAAGGTATATTTCACTTTCTAAATGTTAAATTATGGGATTTTTGAATTGATATGAAATATTTGTGTGGTATAAATGTAAAAAGGGGAAGTTTATATGTTAGATACGTAAAAATATAAGAATTGGGTGGTATGTAAGTAATCGCATCCATATTTAAATGGCATGAAATTATGTGATCTAAAGTCATTTGCTAAGAAATGTAGGTGTAAAAGAGTGAAATAATGAGAGATTTTGATACGATTTGGCGCACAAATAAACACTAGTTTTTATAGAAATTAGAACAAATAGAAATTCTTATCGCAATAATCAAAACAACTCAGACAAATACAAAAGATAAACACCTACATTTCGAGAGGTACACGATCTCTCGCACTTCCTACAATTTGAGAGGTAGGAATCTCTCCAAAGCCCATAGACATAAGGCCCACAATCCAATCTCATGTATAAACCTAACCCTAGACATAACAAGTCTATTTATACCCAACAATAATAATAATAAATGACTGAATTGCCCTTAAAAGTATAAAAAACAAATTTTCCCATAGACTAGACGCCCTCGTAACAGATTTATATATAAACATTAAGACAGATGTCATAAACATATTAATGAAATTGGGTCAAGGTAGGCTTTTTTTTCCGGCATAGAATACTGGCTTTTATGTAATGGTAACAATGAACTCAACATATAAATGAGATTATTTTTGAATATAATAGAAATTTTACAGTGTTGTGCTCCTCAAAAGCATGATGAAATAATGACAGAAAATGAAGAGCAGAGCCATTCATCAGTTATTTATTTTGTAACCCGCATTAAAATTGAAAATTCAGTAATACAAATTAAAATCAAACTCAAGTGACAAACAAAAGGTACACCAGCCAGGGCAAATAAAATATTACATTTTCCCATACAAGGACATGTCCTATTGTGAGGTAGAGCTATAGAGGAGGAATTTAGAGCAGATTCTTCGATGCTTGAACGACTAGTAAATAGTTCATTTTGGCTGCAAATACATGCCTAACTCCTATCAAAATTGTAGATACATTTTCAAAAGCAGTTAGTAAAATTTTAAAAAAGGGCAATTGCATACATGACACTAGAAACATGCTATTTACAAATCTAGCGCACACCTTCATCCATTTTTCAAATGCTCACTCAAATATCAAAATTCATGATAAATCCCCAACCCTTATTTTTCATTTTCTTTAATTTTTTTTTTTAATGACCTAAGCTTGCTTGAAGGTTATGGCTTGTTTAAGAAAAAAAAAATAGTTTCAAACAATCTTCGTCATTTTTTATTGGCTAATTAATATTATTTAACTTCTATTCTGTAAGAATAAATGCTAATTTATAATATTTAAATTCTTATTGTGAAAGCTGGCGAAGAATTTGAATTGATTTTGTTTCAGCATTTTTTTTAAACATTCAAACTATTCTTTATTTACAGAAATATGAAAATGATTGGTATGATTAAAATTACCATTCAAATTAACAAAAAATTTGTCCAACTGATTTCATTATTAAGAAAATTAAATGTGTTTATTAATTAAATTTGTTCATGAGCAGTATCATTTAAAGCTCTTAAAAAGCTCAATTACTATTTATTCATGAACAATATTTTTTATATGTTAATGTTTTAAGCTCAACGAGTACTATTTGATACAACTCATTTATTTTTCCTAAGAAGATGCTTATATAAAGTTGAGTAAAGCTCAATTATTGTTTAATTATCCCGAAAAATAAAAAATAAATAGTTCAAAAAAATCACATGGACGCAAGTATTATAAATAGCAATGTTTCTGAGTGTTGTGTGTATGTAATTATCTTGAACAATAAAAAATAAAAAATTAGAACCAACTTATAAAAATAGAAATATTTTATAGGGCTTTTTCACGTCTAATGGCACTGCAGAGTGGAGACGATCTAATATGAAAAATTGAAGCTATGATTAGAACACGGCAGAGAAACAGAAATAATTTCGATGGAATCATAGGAGGAATGTTAGAAACATTTCGCTAAATATTTGTGGGATTCTTATATTGTTAGATTGGTGAAAATAGTAAAACAGAAAAAAGTGATGCAAAAAATACCAAATATGAATTGCGTTTCAGATTTAATAGTTTTAGAAATAATGATTGCAGCGAACTTTGGAAGGGTTGATGGCAGGTGGATGCATGTAAAATAGAAAATGGGCACCAAGACAATGCATTCTGAGTTTCACTCATTCAATTTTAGTATTAATAATATATGAGCTTTAAGGTCCTGTTCCTATTTTGAGAAGAACACCTGTACAATTAACAAATAAATCCATACTATTCAACAAAATGATAAAACTACCAGAGAATAAATAAATATAAACTTAATAGATAAAATGATAACCAGTAAAAACAAGATCTTTATAATTTTTTATGAAGCCAGGCAGCTCTTTTCAAAGCCAGAATGAAAATCGGCAATTGGAAATTAACCAGGTTCTTTTTAAATAATAGGCGATATATTATGCACAGAAAGTTAAATTTTGTAATTAAAATAAAGAAGCGCTTTAATAGTATTATGCAATAAGAGAAAATTATCTTAATTAGAATATAAATTATAAAGTTAAAATGAGCCTTGTGCTATATCGGACACAAGTATTTGGCAATAAAAAAGTAGCTAATGGTTAAGTGCAGTAAAAAGTAACAAAAGATGGGAGTGCAGTAGACGCCTAGAAAAGGTAAATGTTTATAATAGAGAATGGTAAAATAAAGTGACCGGAACGGATAAGAAATCTAAAATCAGCTTTAGTTGGTTTGGTTATGAATAATGAAGAGTGGAAGCCCATAAAATAACCAAAGTCAAAATGATTATAAATGCATATATATGTATATATAGACCCACATGCGAGCATGCATACAATTATGTACATATATACCTATACATGTATAGATATGTATATATACATGCATGTGTGTGTGTCTATATATATATATATATATATATATATATATATATAGAGAGAGAGAGAGAGAGAGAGAGAGAGAGAGATGCCTGTTTAGCACTGAATTCAAATGAATTGAGAAGGTTTGATAAAATTAGTCTCCATTGAGTATATGAATCTATGGATTCATGTATATGTATTTATATGACAAATGTATATAGTTTTGTATGTAGTTTTGTATATGTATATATGAATAAATGTATATGCATCCGTATACATCTGTAAAGACTAATATTTATGTGTATATTATCATATATCTAGCATATCTTCTTCAAGTCAAAGCAAATCAATTTTGACTCAAACCCACTAAATTCATGAAATTATTAAAAAAGTTTATTAAGTTTCATACATAATTGTAAACCATAATAAATGGTAGCCAATGCCCACTAACTACAGATAAGCATGCATGCGCATACCATTGTTGATAAACGTGTACTTCAATGTATAAAATATGCATTTATGAAAATATTTCTATAATGTGTAATCAAACAAGCATGTACATATGTATTCATAAAAGTAAAATGGTCACAAATATAAATTAGTCTTCATAAATGAGACCACAACTTTTATTGTGATCTTCAATATGACAAAAAACTAGTGGATCAAGTTTAAATAATTTTTATAAGAATTTAACATTCACTGGGAATGAGGAAAAAGAAAGATGGTCAAATGAAATATATAAGCTCTATTAAAAATCAAATTTTAGGCATTTATTAGACCAACAAAAACAATCAAATACACGCCAATTATCACCAATAATCTGTGTATTTAATTACTAGACATTGGTAAGCTAACATGCATGCCATTAGATCCATCCACTAAAAAAAATTGATGCATTTATTTACTAATCAAATAAATATAAAAATCCATGAAATCATGAATGTCATTAGCTTTGATGATTTTTGTTGGTGATATACGCGAGAAATATCTTGACGTCATAGGGCAGCTTAATCAAAAGCCTAAATGGATGGAGAATGGTGAATCTCATGCTTGAAAGAGAAACGTGGGCTTTAAGAAAGCAAAAAACCACAAAGCAACATAATCAAGGTTTAGGAACCAAACATGCCAATGGAAAGTAGCACAACATAGCACAAGAATCCCGTAAAGTCATAACACAAAGCGTATGCCATAACACATTAATTTAAACATAACATAAAATATTAAAAAATTTATGCATAAAGAAGCATATAAATATACAGAAACATTTGTGAGAAATAACAGTTAAAAAGGAAATAATCATAGTAATGAAAACAACTAAATATATAAATAAAATCATCACTCAAATAATATCAAACAGGAAGCTAAGGCTCAAGCGGTTGACCACTTAAAATTCAAAGCATTATTTTTTTGGGGCATTTACATACATAGCACAAAATTCTTATGCATTTACATATCTCATATGATATGAAACAGGATGCTAAGACTCAAGTGTTTTGTCTCAAATTTACACACATAGCACCCAAAGCTTTAATATCACATCAAAAATAGGACCACTAACAACCTTTAAAAATGAATTGCACATTTTCATGCATAGGATTAAAGCACGAAGTGCCATGCATGAAAATATAAAGTATAGGTGTGATGTATGAAAATACATAAGAATTCTCTGCTATCTATGTAAATTTCCTTTTTTTTTTTAGTCAGAAGTTTTTAGAAAAAAATGAAACTAATCAAATTTAGAATCATCAGCATCATATGCTGAAATAGCATCGAGGAATCCTCCAATTATGAGACAAAACACTACTGAGGCACTAAATAAAGTGATTCTTAAATATAAATTATAATTAGTATATAATAATAATTTAATATTTAGATAATAATGAAAGTTAACGAATACATCCAATTGATTGATAG